GATTAGGCTACACTGTATGGCTGTTTCAGGACCAGGCTAGCTTGACCGCTCTTGCCCATGCATTGGCAACCTCCAGACTGGATGACTGCAAAGTACTTTATGTGTAGCTGCCAAGAAGCTGCAACTGGCACCTAATATGGCAACGTAACTCACTGGAGCAGAACATCGCCATTATATTACACCACTGCTGAAAGATTTGCATTGGCTGGCAATTAGCTACCAGGCTAGATTTTAGCGACTGGTACTACTGTATAAAGGCCTCTGCAGTTTGAGATCAGAATACCTAAAAGGTTGTCTCATCCCTTATGTACCAAACCCGGCAGATACCATATTACCAGAAGATCTATTCCACACAGTGTCAGTTCTGGGCCTTTAGTGTGGTGGCACCCATACTTTCAAACTCCCTCTCATAACATATCAGACAGGTGTCATTTTTACTGTCTTATCATTGCCTGTTGAAGACTGTCCTCCTTCAACAAGTCTTTTAACTAGAATTTTTCTTATCCCACTTGATAACCAGATTTATTTGAAATTCTATATTAAAAGCAATTGTTTTTATATATGTACTTGTGCTATATGTGTTTGGGTGTGTGTGTGTGTGTGTGTGCGCGCGCGCACGCGCAGTTGTTTTGGATATGGCTTTTATCACATTGTGAAATATTTCTTTGGGATGTTTCATAGGATAATAAGTGATCTAACAATTATGAAATGAATTTTTTATTATAATGGGATGGAATAAAATTATTCCATGATTGTTATTTCCAAACTGCCCTTTCTCCAAAGAGAACAGGGGGATGGTACACAACAGAGTAAAACACTCAATACTGTAAAAAATAAAAGTCTATAAAATCCTTACATTCCATTAGCTATGGAATGTACACAATTAGACTTTCCTACCATTCCTTTTCAGTTTCTGTCCAATGAATTGATGCAATAAATGCAATGCTTGAACAATAAAGGGAAGGGGAAGCCTTAATGAAATCTACAGGGGGCAAATCCCTGACTCCTTCCAGTTTTACCTACAATAGTGGCTAGGAGGGCTGCCACAAAGTAGAGAGGCCCCACTAATCCACCCTTACATAATTTGAGCTCTGAATAAATGACTAGGTTTCTGTGTCTGCAATAAAGCAAGCTAGTTTTTTAATATATTGAAAGATGCTCCTGTCAAAATACACCACCTGTCTAGCCTAGTGGTGACTAACCTTTTTGCGCCAGGAGCCTGACTCCAATCAATTTTTGCTGATCTTCTGAAGGCCTGATAAATTTTGGCAACAGCAGCAGCTTAAAAAAAGTAGATACAGGTAGATGGAAATATTGTCCCCAGCCCAGATGCCTGATGGGTGCATTAATTCCCCTCACCCCAGACATCAGATTCCCTGAACAAAGAAGGGGGGAACCCCCTCTTCAGCTGATCTGCCCAGATTATCCAAGAAGAAGGGCTCTTTTTCCTGTTCAGGTGTGAGTATAAAGTTGTGAGGTGGCCACATTCACTTTTGGTCACACCCAACAGTGGCATGCAGACCCTGGAGAACTGGCAAGGCTTTCAGCCAGTGAATGTTAACCCCTCCTCATCTAGTCTTCTTCAGACATTCATCATACGAGCATGAGTATAAATGCATGCATACTAACTCTATCTTTCTATCCTTCTCCATGCACTCAAGGATGCCTGCCTGCAGTAGAGAAGTCTCCTGTACTTGTGTAGGCACCAACAATCACCTCCATGTGTTTAGTCAAGTGCCATTATGAACACATGAATAGTGAGAAATACACTGGAAATTCAGATAATTGTTTTCAATGTTTACATAATATTGTTTAAAAGGTAAAGGTAAAGGTACCCCTGCCCGTACGGGCCAGTCTTGACAGACTCTAGGGTTGTGCGCCCATCTCACTCAAGAGGCCAGGGGCCAGCGCTGTCCGTAGACACTTCCGGGTCACGTGGCCAGCGTGACAAGCTGCATCTGGCGAGCCAGTGCAGCACACGGAAACGCCGTTTACCTTCCCGCCAGTAAGCGGTCCCTATTTATCTACTTGCACCCGGGGGTGCTTTCGAACTGCTAGGTTGGCAGGCACTGGGACCGAGCAACGGGAGCGCACCCCGCCGCGGGGATTCGAACCGCCGACCTTTCGATCGGCAAGCCCTAGGCGCTGAGGCTTTTACCCACAGCACCACCCGCGTCCCTTACCCACAGCGCCACCCGCGTTGTTTAGACTCACACAATTGTTTAATATTGTTTAGACTCACACAATTCAGATAATATATTGACACAAGGCTAGATCATCTGAGCCTCACCTTTGGGTATCTGAGATGACTAAAATCATGGTTGCCAGGAATGGGGAATTCCATGTGAGACAGAAAGAACACGTATGTGATTTGCAAGACCATCACATTCCAGATTGCTGGCACTTCCACAACTTTTCCATACCTTTTTAGAGATGCTTACTTTGCCTATTTGCATATTATCACTCCACACAAAGCACGGGATATACTGGTTCAGATATAGTTCTGAGAATCAACTCTCCTAGTTACACATTGTCATACTTATCCAGAGTCAACAATGGTCCAACACTGAATTTGGTTTTCAAATCTTGACACAACCAAAAACTCTAGTCAAGATGCCCCTGACATTTACTTTAGAGGGGAAAGTCACCTGAGACGGTAGATATTTCACTGGATCATAAAGACACCTTGCTTTCACCAAACAGGATGATTCAGCAGCAAGATCATTTTGTGCAATGACAAAAGAGTGGTGATTGCTCTAGATTCTGCAGATCTAGAGTGATCTGCTACACCAATTTCCTGTCACCATACTGTAATGTGATGAATGTGTCATGAACACATAAAATAACACAACTGACTTCTATCACCCATTTAAACACATGCAAAAGTTCAAAAGGATATGACCAATTGACTGAAGAAGTTTTCTCTACTCACTTTGCAACAAGACTTGCCATAAAGGTAAATTGGAATGTAGCATTTTATAATTCACAATACAGCAATGATCAGAATTATAGATTGTTTTAATTTAAAGTCTCCATCTTATCTCTTCTGTGCTACAACCCCAGACAGAAGCTTTTAAGCCTATTTTTAAGTTGTAAACCATTGCTAAGGACATGAATCATATGAAAGCTGTGACAAACTTGTTCAATCAGTTTTAAAAGTCTAGAGTTTGAAGTGGAGGATTGATTTTAGTGGGCCTGTATTAGATAGAGATCTGATAGCCAAAATGGGTAAAAAGGGGGAAAGGTCCCCCGAAAAGTACAAGGGTTTTTTGCATTATTGGATTAAAGTTCCTGAAAACCCTATAAAATTATGGCCTGGTCAATAAAGTCTGAATTCTCAAGAAGTGCTGATGACATCCTCATGAATACTAAATGGACATACTGTGAGTTATACTCCCTCAAACCAAAAGGAATTTATAATGGTAAAATCATCATTTTTTAAAGCTACAATTGAAAGCTGGCCACAGGTAACAGGAACTAGAAGTGACAGAGCCAAAGAATGCCTTAAGATGGAGCATGAAAGATTCAATGTGTACCCTATGAAGAAGAAGAAAACTTCCCCTTTGTGTTTTGGTGCATCTTACATTTCCTTAGTTCTCTTTAACTTTGCAGGATAAAGTAGCTCTCAGGGATCAGCATTATACAGAAGCCCCAGTCTGCATTGTCCTAGTTCTCTAAAAGCTGATATCCAGTTTATACTAGGAAGTGTTGTGAAAGAAAGGAGCTCTGTTTATTGGGATAAATCTTCAGCAATGTAACACAAGAACCCTTTTTATTAAAAAAAAAGAGAGAGAGAGAATACATGTTAGAATGAAAAGGGATTTAATTACTGTAGATATACAGGATGGAAAAACTCTCATTTTAGCATCAACAGGGATAAAGCACAGAACAACAGGTGAGCAGTTATCCTCATCTTGCAACCTGAGTTCCCTTTTTATATAAATGGGCACCTCACCACCCCTCGGGAGCTGATGATATGTGGTGGTGAGCCAATCCTCAGTTGCAAAACCTGAAGCGCTTTAGTATGCCTGAGGGAAAGGAATTCAGGGCAGGCTTGAAGAGATTCTAATACTGGCATGCGTTTGATCAAAACTGAACCCTGATTGCTCATGACATGATCTATTAAATTAAAGCTAAGGGGCAATCAATTAGTGACATAATAGAGACTGAGAGACACTTTCTACCCCAGTGTCCCAGTACAAGAAACACAGTTCTGTAAATTTTGCAGAATCAGCCAGCATCACACACGGAAAGAGGAAAAGAAAAATTGACTTGGCGATGGGAAAAAGAGAAAGCTGTGTGTGCTGGTTAGATACATGTCATTAAATGGGAAGCCGGAGAGAAAATGGACAGACAGGAGATCAGATAGGATCCAGTGAGGAAATCTGGCCTCATAGGGGGCTTTTGGCCCCCGACCACATCTCCATCATTCCACCACTCACCATGGAAACCAGGCTGCAATTTGTGCCACCTTGCCATACCAGTAGCATCTCGGAAATGAAATATCCGACACTTTTCATCCGACTTTGAAACAGTTTGATCCACACCTTCCATCCTAACCGCGACGCGACCTATTTTACCCTCCGTGATCTCAGCCCTTTCCCACTCGCAGCGCCCCAAATCCAGGGCTCTCCTCTCCTCGTACATTCGCGTGCGCTTGAATGCACCGAGATGCAGTTCAAGGCTGTGCCAAGTGGAGCAGGAAACTTTCTGCCCCAGAGAGAAAGCGCCACACGGACGCACGAACAGAAGACCACCCCTCCCTTAAAGCAAGCGGGGGTGGGAGGACGCGAGCGCGGAAGAAGAAGGCGAAACTCCCCCCGAGGGGCACTAAAACCGGAAGGCGAGGGGCACTAGAATCATCCAGTGCTGTGGGAAGGCGAGGTTATCATCCTGCTCCCTGAATCTTTTCTAGAGAATAGCAGCAGAGATCGGGCCATCTCCACCCCCACCCACCCCCAATCGTGCTTGTTATGATCGTGACAATGCTGGCTACTCACGCTACTGTTGTGTCCCGACCAGTGCACCATGGCTTGGTTATGCGCCGAATCCCCCGTCAGGGCAAAGGTTGTGCTCGTCAATTTCAGCTCCTCCAGGCGGAAGCGCGTGGCTTTCCCCGGCAGCTGCTCCGGACTTGCCCGTTCCCGGCTCTCCGGAGGCTTGTCTCTCTCCGCCGGGGCCCCTCGGGGCTTCCGGCTCCCCAGCCGCCTCCGATCCGCGCCGGGCTTCCTCAGGCGGCCCAGGGGCGCCGATCGGGCAGCGCGGCCGGCCTGAGAGTTCGCCGCCGGGCGCCCGTCGGCGGAAGAGAACTTGGCGCGCCCGGCTCGATTCCCACCCGAGGGCGACGCTCGGCGGCCGAGCCGAGCCTCGGGGCGCTCGCCGCTCAGCTGCCGGGAGCCGGCCAGGCTGCGCGATGCGTCTTTCTCCTCGGCGGGGGCAGAAGCGGAGAGGGCTCGATCCCCGGCACTCGCCGGCGCCTCCTCGCCACCACCGGGGCGCCTCTCACCTCTTTCCTCCCCGGGTCTCCTCCTCGCCTCGTCGCCTCTTCGCCCCGCCGTCCTCAAGTGCATTAATAATCCGTCCGGAGCTCGCTGCTGCTCCCGCAGCTGGAGCTGCACCTGCCAACGGCACGAGCTGCAAGTGATTTCTGCCCCGATGAAGCCAAAAGTGAGGATCAAAAGCCATGTCCGGGCGGCTAGCAGAGCAACGTGCCAGCCTGGGTACCAGCCAGTAACTTTTCCCATTGCCCCTGATGCTGGTGGAGGGGCGGGGAGGGAACGTGTGCGAGAGAGAGAGAGAGAGGGAGAGAGAGAGCGACGGAGTGAGAGGGAAGCGAAATGGGAGGGGAGTTGGGAGAAGACGGCAGGTTGTGTTTTATTCCCAGATCTGCTCTTCAAGGAAGGCAGCGGCGATAACTCTCTCGAAGTTTCAGACCCTGGATGCAGTCTGGGGAGAAAAAGAGGGGAGAAAGGAGAGAAACACCCCGCTTTCTTTGCTTTCGGAGTTCCCCCTCACCCCCCAAAAGCTGGCGTCGCCGAGCGGGCTTTTGATGGAGGGGGAAGCCACCACCGCGCGGGGGAGGAGCTGAAGGAGCGCGCGAGAGAGAGCGAGGGAGAGCGAGCGCGCCAGCCAACCCCGGCTGGTGATTTCTCCGGCTTGCCTTTGTAGAAGAAGTCACCACATCGCCTCCCCGCCCCCTCGCGCCGAGCACGGCTCCTTCTCGTCACTGGATCGGGAGGGACGGGCGATCCGCTCGCCCCCTTTCCAGGCGCCCGGCGGCCGCGCCAACTTCTCCCTCCGCCAGCCTTGCGCGTCTCTTGGCCACCTCGGGGAAAGCGGCGGCTGTGTTGGGAGACGATGTGAACAGCGAGAGCAAGGCTCCTTCGGGAAGGGGATCTAACGGCGAGGGACGGCGTGTGCCACTCAAAGTTCCCTCACGTTGGCGCGGTGGCTGAGTGGGGAGGGGTCGGGGTGACACCCACGAAAGTGGGCGCAAGGAAAGTGGGTGGGTGGGTTCTCTGCTCCTGCCCAGTAGTCCCTGCTGAGCATAACTCTTCTGAAATCTCAGCCAACGTCCACTTTGAATCACAGAAATTTCACGTCTGAAAGAAGCACAAACAATCAAGGGGGTGCGCGCGTGTGCGCATATCTATAGCTTTATATAGAGCAGGTATAGTGAAATGAAAGAAAGCTACTTGACATATTTCTCCGCCGCAGTTCAAAACAAACTTCCCTTAACAATGTTTAAAACGATATACAGTGTAGCATAATATCATCTTAGCCATGGCAAAATCACAACAAATTTTCATGTCTCTAGTTTTCTCCGCTGCCCCTGCGCCCTGCTATGTTTCTCTCCCAAATGAAAATTCATGGTAAATTCTGCAGTGGTTCAGTCACTGGAAGTGGGATCCCAGAAAGAATTTTACACAAGACAGAGTCACATGGAATGGAGTAGAGTTTGTCCCTGAAGGATAGCGTTCTCTTTCCCAGCCTGAATTGTGTTTCCAACGTAAATAGTGGCTGTGTACACCCTTGTGATATTTTATTTGAAAGTGAGGTGCATATAACTAAATAATATATAAATAAAATAACGGCACACCTGTTGCTTGAGCAGAGGCGCCAATCCTTCATGTGGCTGAACTTGACCTTGCCTTGGCTACCTCAGAGGTAGGGATCCACTTTCGCATGTATTCAAAAGCATTTGAGTGAAAAATCTGTGGATGCTTTTAGGTGTAATGCTAGCTTTGCAGCAACATCCCAGAACATCAAAGGAGAGATGAATATGATACTACATGATCCGTTTTGCTAAGGAGACAGGATGGATGGTGGTTTAGAAGCACACAGACAACTAAAGTACAAAATGGAACAGGACCAAAAGATGAGCAGAGGAAGAGAGATCACATGCCGAAATGCATGGCAACTGATAGTACAATGTGAATTGCACACTCTGCCAGACTTCATACCTGTTTAAAAGGTGAATGAATGTCACCAGAGGAAAGGGAAACAGCCAATTCAGGAATAAAGAGGTAAACCAAGATAAGATGCAAACAGCACAAACCAACTAATGACAAGTTCCATTTTTCATAAAGTGAGGTGCCTTTGGTCAGTGGTGGGAGACAGAGGATTGAGGTTGAATTCTGACAAGACAGAAGTAATCTTTTTGGGGGACAGGTGTGGGGGACTCCCTGGTCCTGGGACTCCTCCCTAAAGGCCTGGGAGTCATTCTGGACTCTCAGCTGTCCATGGAGGCCTGGGTCAATTCTGTGTCCAGGGCAGCTGTCTACCAGCTCCATCTGGTACACAAGACCTTACCTGCCTGTACACTGTCTCACCAGAGTGGTATAAGCTCTTGTTATCTCCTACTTGGACTACTGCAATGCGCTGTACCTTTGAAGGTGACTCGGAAACTTCAGCTAATCCAGAATGCTGCAGCTAGACTGGTGACTGGGAATGGCCACCCGGGCCATATAACACTGGTCCTAAAAGAACTACAGTACGTTTCCAAGCACAATTCAAAGTGTTGGTGCTGACCTTTAAAGCCCTAAACAGCTTTGGCCCTGTATACCTGAAGGAGTTTCTCCACCCACATCATTCACCGGACACTGAGATCCAGCTCTGAGGGCCTTCTGGTGGTTTCCTCATTGCGAGAAGTGTGAAACGCTCTCCCATCCAGTGTGTCATTCCCACTCCACCCAAGAGCCACAAATCCGTGACTGCCTGGTCAATAAGCACAGCACATAATAACAAATGGCTGCACACACACACACACACACACACACACACACACACACAAATGGTGCAATTATTTGCACACTTGCCTGAGAACACACCCCACTGAATTATGATGTTGGGAAAGATGGAGGGCACAAGGAGAAGGGGACGATAGAGGACGAGATAGTTGGACAGTGTTCTCAAAGCTGCCAACATGAGGTTGACCAAACTGCGGGAGGCAGTGGAGGACAGGAGTGCCTGGCATGCTCTGGTCCATGGGGTCACGAAGAGTCGGACCGACTAAATGACTAAACAACAACAATTGCACAGGTACAGCTGCAAACTTCCAATAAGCTTTCATCATGAATGAGAAGGTTATCAATGGCTGCTAGCCATTGCGGCTGTGCTCTACCTCTGGGGGCAGAGGCAATTGCTTCTGAGTAACAGTTGCTGGAAACTGCAGGAGGAGAAAGTGCTCTTGTACTAGAATCCTGTTTGCTGGGTTCTCACAGGGATCTGGCTGACCAATGTGAGAACAGGATGTTGGACTAGATGGGCCATCGGTCTGATTCATCAGACTCTTTCTATGTTCTCATATTGCCCAGGCAGTGGTCTGCTTTCTCTTGTTCCCTGGGATAAGTGGCTGCAGAATCTGATGCACGGCCTTCAAGGAGCACCTTTGTCCATTTAAAGTTAGGAAGGCAACCGCCACTGCCAGCTGCATTACCCTGCAACTTAAGTAGTAGCTGTCACACAGAATTGAGATAAATAAATCACTCAAACATTGCCAAGATCTGCCTGGATTAAAACTGTCAAGGATGGAAATACGATTTGGGGAGTATAAAAGCAAGAAAAGGAATTTAGAGAAATTTCTAAGGTGTATGCCCTCTAGCTCTAAATGGCCAGTAATTTATAGCCAGGGGGCATGACATTGCCCTTCCTTGACCACTTTATATTCCCTCCCCCTCCCCCTGCATTTCATTCCTGCTTGTCAAATATTCCAAACCGTATCGAACATTTGAAGGTCTTTTTTGGCTTCTCTTCCACCTATGTTTGGGTTTAATAATGTCGATTAGAGTTTCAAGTAGTCATTAATGGAACATGCAGCTTTGCATGGGCATTAGAATATTGGATAAAGTCCCAATGCCACTGAAACAATTGGGAGATACATAACTGGTCTAGTGATGCTCAGAGTCGCTATGCATATTATGGGCTGTATATACACTATTTCTTGTGAAACAACCACATGCATCTATTTAACGGTGCATACACATATTGTGCAAGTGTTGGAAATGCATATTCAAGTGCACATGAACTGATTATACCTGCAGCAGATGATAATATGTTGAGGAGACAGAATGGAATGCACAGCCTCAGACTTGAATGCTCGCCTATCTCCATGAAAACAGAAATACACAGCAGTGATAAGGTCAGGTTAGACCTGATAGAGCTTATTGTTCGTACAATAACTATTTTTACTAGAGGAATGCACTGGATCTGAGGAAATCACAGATTTCAAACTCAATTGGGTTGATTCAGGTCAACCTGAGGATCAGGTAAAGTGAGCTGAGGCAGCCCCAGATCACCCCGGGTTCATCCAGAACAATCTGAAGCCATCAAAATGAGATATGCAGGCAGCCTGTGCACATCTCTCTCTCTCTCTCTTTCTCTCTCTCTCTCTCTCTCCCCCCCCCCCCCCCAGTTTCCTGACTACATATTTAATCATTGTTTTAAATGCTGGTTAAATATGCAGTGGGGATGGGAGAGAGAGGCATGCATCTCCTTCTCCCCGCTCCAGGGCCACATGGTTAATCAGAGTTTTAAACCCAGATTTAACATGTGGCTGGGAGAGGGGGAGACTCCATGACCATGCAAGGCCCCCAGATTTGTTCAAGGCCTCCATCTGGGTCACGCTGGCCCCAGATCAGGGCTGCTCCAAAGCACCAGCTCAAACTCTGGATCTCATGCACAGCCCCCCATGTGCATCTATTTGTGATAGCGCCCTGAGGAAAAACCAAAAGGAAGCCTGAGCTGTTGCGTCCTTTTCAGCCACCCTCCAGCTCGTAGAAGGATGCAACAGCTCGTAGTGCTCTGTGCCTCCCCAAAAAAAACTGCACTCAGGGTGATGCCCCCCCACGACACCTCTGCCTCAAAAAGCTAAAATTCCCAGAGTAGCTTAACAGTCAATTGTTTTTCACAGGGGGAAGCCATGAATGTTTAACGTGGAATCATAGAGCTTTCAATGTAGGGTGTGAATATAGCTTAACTGCCATGGCTTCTCCATAGAACCCCTGAAATTGGTTTGGTGAGGTTGAATATGCTTTGTTAGCGATCCCTAGAGTCTCTCACAAAAGTGGATTCCCTGGGGAAAGTGAATGACTGTTGATACGGTTTCCAGCTGCAGTATCCATATGTCATCTGTTTTGTGTATAAAACATCCTTAAAAAGCTGAAGTTTTCTACATTTAGCAGTCGGTTTCAAATGCCATTCATTGCTATGACCTCCCTTGAAGAATGAAGGGAAACACAGCTGAATGACGGTGCCAGGGACTCTCTTTTGGAGAGCTCCATCGCCTTCATAGAAATGGAGTTGGCACCTTTTTAATGGATGGATTCCTGTGCCTTTAAGAATTGAATGACAAGCTGAAATGGAGCCACAACACTTTCTTGCTAAGGCTCTTATTGTGGGGAGGCAAGTCCAGCTGTTGCATTTCTGCCTGTCATTCAGCTGCTAAAGAAACAAAAATCTAGCCCTAGCGTGTGTTCTGAAGCATACTATTGCAAGCACTTCATCATCATATGACTTTTTCTTTTAGGTACTTTTAAAAAAGAAATATGTAGTATATATTTATATTGGTTCTATACCAGTTTAATAACTATCCTGACTTCTCTGAAAAATCCTGGATATTGGTATTTGATAGCAAGCTTCCTAAAGTTAGTGGGTCTGGTCTATGTGTGGATGGGAGATCTTGTGAGAACTGCACCTTGGGTTCCCTGGCAGAAGAAAGGCAAGATAAAAAATTAATTGTGGTATTCAATGAACTTTTTGCATAAACGGAAGGATTACTATCAGAACAAGGGGATTTCCCCCCTCTCTTCACCCCACATGTTCCTTGTGCAATCC